GCTTTTGTTATCAGGCAACTAAGTGGCGTGGTTGACTTTTTAAATTAAGACTATACTTAAATGGCAGGCCATTCCACCTGTGTCCACTGGGATTGCATTTATCTACAAATAACAGAAATGTCAAAACCACACAGTCTTAAGAAATTTGCCTCTTCTAAGAGTCCAGGGCTGGTTTGGTAGCTCAAAGGTACTATGAAAGCCCTGAGCATCTTCTTTCTCCCAGGTCATCCATCCAGCAGATGGCTCCATCCTCATCTTCCTTCTCCCAGGTCATCCATCCAGCAGATGACTCACTCCATCTTCACAATCAAAAGGTGGCGACTGCACCCAGACATACAGCTGCATCATAGGCTTGAAAAGGCAGGAAGTGGCAAAGGGTTAAGGACAAAGCTCTTCCATGCAAGCTTTTATTTTTTTGTTTTAATTCCAGAAATAGATGGTCCCCAGGGACTTTCACCTACATTTCATTGGGCAGAATTGTGCCCTGGCCATCCTATGTGCAGGGAACCTGGGAATTTGATTTGGCTTCCTCGCCTGGATAGTTGAAGCCAAGGGACTAGGAGAGTGAGCAGGGTCGAGGAAGCTAACTATACCGTATTTACACAGATGCAGGCTGCAGGAAAGCCTAGAGGGAGGTTGGAGATTTTACTCAAGGAATAAGAGATAATCCACTTCATCCTCAAACACTCAACTGAAACTCCAGAGTTTTCACTTCACAGAGAAATGGTTTTTCACAGCATTTGTGGTAGATCACCTTATCGGAATTACCCAGAGTTCTTATTTGCGAGGCTCCTAAGCTCCATGCATGTTCCAGTTCAGTAAGTTCAGGATAGAGTTAAGAAATTTGCATTTTAGTGAACACCCCAGATGAATCTTATACATGCTAACAGTTGGAAATTACTGCCATAGGGGGGAAAATGCCTGAAAATAAATTTTATAAGTTATCCCCTTATATCATAGAAAAAAGTTTAGTATTGTACCTGAGAAAAATCCAATCCTGAAAATATAAACTGTAGAATGACTCAGCTGCACAGTGTACTTACAGGTCAGAATGAGTTAATATATTGAATAGACTGTGGGCAACTTAAAATTCGGGAAATGTCTATCAAAGACAGTGACCTTAGTTCTGAAATAATTGATGTTGAACTAAGTGTTTCAAAGTCATTCAGACATCCACCCAAGTTTGATAAATATGCACTAACGATAGAAAATGTAGAATTCCGCCAAGCACAGTGGCTCGTACCTGTAATCCAGCACTTTGGGAGGCTGAAGTGAGAGGATCACTTGAGGCTAAGAGTTCAAGACCAACCTGAGCAACATAATGAGACCTTCATCTCTACAAAAATAAAAATAAATTAGCGAGGTAGTACCTGCTACCTGGGAGGCTGAGGCGGGAGGATCACTTGACCCCAGGAGTTTGAGGTTATAGTGAATTATAATAAGGCCACTGCACCACTGCTCTTTAGCCCAGGAAATAGAATAAGACCTAGTAAGAAAGAAAAGATGAAGAAAGGAGAGAAGAAGAGAGGAGAGGAGAAGAGAGGAAAAGGGGGGGGGAGGAGAGGAGAGGAGAGATGTCGATAGAATCTACAATGTTTAATACTCAATAATTCATAATAATACACAATTAAACATGGCACTCGCAGGCCAGCCTTAGGCTTGTCTTTTTCTCCTTTCTGCTCTATTGAATATTAAACATTGTAGATTCTAGCCAGGTGTAGGGGCTCACTCCTGCAATCCTGCAATCTTTCTATGCAGATAGAAAGATGGGGTAAATCGTCATGGTTGGCCAGCAAAAAGCAATAACACTGAACATTCTGATGTGTTCCTTTTTAGTTTTTGTGAGCACAGTGTTTGTTTGTATTCTTTCAACCTAACTGTAATCTAATTAGACTCCAGGCTGATAGATTTCCTCCGGGACATTTTTTAATTCCTGCAACAGAGTTACTCTCACAGACAATAACTATTTATACTGAAATTATTTGTCTATGAAATTTCTCTAAATATCATTTTGAAAGGAGACACAATTTCACCACATTGTTAAATGCCCCCTAGTGTGGCCACAGTCCTTTCCAAGTTCATTAGAATGAGCCACGGTTTTTGTTAACAGTATAATATTAGGATTTTTTTTTTTTTTT